CTGTAATGTTTCACATTTGAAGTAGTAAGTCCGTGTGAAGCCTCGCTGGTGTCTAGTGAAGATGTTCTGTAGGTAAAACATACAGTAACCTGAGCAACAGCAGCCAAATATACCACAGTATTACACTCAGTGTTGTGGTAAATATCTATATTAAAGCAACAACTACAAAAACACAATATTGGAATATGTTTTCCTGGTCAAATAATAGTTTCAGGTCTTACTACTTCTCATCATGTCAGAATTTTAATAACATACAAATTTTGTATGGCAACCTATATGATTTGGGACTAAAACACTCTTAAATAGTTTTCAGTTAGATTACTTCATATTTGTTTAACTGAATCACTGGTAGATCAGGTAGAATCTTGTATAGCTGGGTGCTGTTTCTAGCTTAGTTTCTGAGAAAACTACACTCAGTAATTGTAATCTACATATAAAACAATGCCCTGTAAATAGTAAATATGTTTGAAATTGTAAGTCATCATGTATAGTGAGGTTTTGTCACAAATTCACGTTTTTAATCAAATTATTTGATGACCTATATCTGTGCAGTACAACAGTTCATGATCCATAGTTTGTTGTAGTACAACAGTTTATGATCTCCATATTGGTGCAGCGCCAAGGGCTTATGATCCATAGTTTGTTGCAGTACAACAGTTCATGATCCTCATATCGGTGCAGTGCCAAGGGTTCATGATCCATAGTTTGTTGCAGTACAACAGTTCATGATCCTCATATCGGTGCAGTGCCAAGGGTTTATGATCCATAGTTTGTTGCAGTACAACAGTTCATGATCCTCATATCGGTGCAGTGCCAAGGGTTAATGATCCATAGTTTGTTGTAGTACAACAGTTCATGATCCATAGTTTGCTGCAGTACAACAGTTCATGATCCCCATATTGGTGCAGTGCCAAGGGTTCATGATCCCCATATTGGTGCAGTGCAACAGTTCATGATCCCTACATCTGTATAGTGCAGTGGCTTATGATCCCCAATCTGTTCAGTTCAGTCCTGTCTAACAGTCATGTATCCTTATCTCCCACCTAATGGGACTCCTGATCTTACCATGTATATATTCAGTGTTTTACATCAGTGTCCCATCTAACTACTATCTTCATCCATAATCACAACATCCTTCCCTTATTCATTGCTATCACTCAGTTTTACATATTCTTCCAAGTTTCAGCAGCAGTACTGGTATATACAAAGACTTTAAAAAGATTCCCATCCGACATTATGTTACAGAACAATTAGGCATGGCTGGCTCCCTTGATCTGCCTGGAAACATAGTATCTGAAATCTACATCATGTATATGAATGTTTACAATAGCCAGGGTCATTGTATAACATCTTGGGGTAAACATGTTGCGATGGCCAATAGCTTCCATCTGCTCTCTGCCCTACAAACCTGCTACCAGCTCAAATCTATTAAGTCCACAGCCATCATGTTTGCACGGACGATAAGAGTCCAGAAGTTGGCGGGAAGGAGAAGAAATATAGGGGGAACTTCATGTTGCCATATTAGGGAGTAATACCTGGACAGGTCTATTGATTGGCAGATCATGTGTTTTTGTCGGATTGTGATTGACACAGTTAGTTATGATTCCATTGGAATGTGTGTAAATGTGTGAATATCTGTGACAGGACTTAGTTGATTGGCACAACTGGCTGTAGACCAGTAGAGCTTTTCAAATTATGCTTTATTTGTCCAACCCGTGGTCAAATCAGGTTCAGTTTTATCAGTAGACTGCTTGATGATCAGTAGAGCGTTGCATGGTGCATGGCTATTAACGGAGTTGTCGATTCTTCACACTGTCACAGCCTGCTAATATATTTGGTTTCCAGGTGATAACTTGAATAAATATTGACACGATTAGGCCAAATTTGTTCATGTAAATGAACCCTACATATAAGGGTGCCTGTAGGGAACATAGCTGTAAGGTTGAAAGTTATCTGCAAAACAAGTAGTGAAAGATATTGAGGCAAATACATCATTTAATTATTTCCTTTTAAGAAATTAATTCAGAATAGATCTCAAAAACTGTGGCCTTAGTTCCAATGATCGTTCTGAGTTAATTTCATGTAAATTAGAGTTAGCGCTTGTGTTTGTGTGTCATTAATATTATGTCACATTAGCCTTTCCAGACCCTAACTCCCTTTCAACCAACTTCACCTTTTACCCAGATCACTTTTTACCCTTATCACCTTTAACTTGGATCACACTTTACCCACGTCACCTTTTACCCACATCACCTTTCACTCATATCACCTTTTACCTGGATCACACATTACCCACATCACCTTTTACACTCAGATCACCTTTTACCTGATCACATATTACCCACATCACCTTTCACTCAGATCACCTTTTACCTGGATCACATATTACCCACATCACCTTTCACTCAGATCACCTTTTACCTGGATCACACATTACCCACATCACCTTTCACTCAGATCACCTTTTACCTGGATCACATATTACCCACATCACCTTTTACCCAGATCCCACCTTACCGAGATCACCTTTTACCTGAATCACACATTACCCATGTCACCTTTTACCCACAACACATTTTAGCCAGATCCCCTTTACTGAGCTCACCTTTTACCCAGTTCACCTTTTACCCACATCACCTTTTACCCACATCAACTTTTACTGAGCTCACCTTTTACCCAGTTCACATTTTACCCACATGACCATTTACCCACATCACCTTTTATCCACATCACCCTTTACCCACATCACCTATTACTACATGAAAGAATCAAAGCCGATATCCAAAATCTTGCCTTGAATTACGGTGGTAGTGTCCATTGTTTAGCCCATAGAGGCATCACTACTTTGACTGTGCAATGCACAATTAGTTTGAGCATTGTTTTCTTGTATATGCTGTTATAGTCTCTCCATATCACATGAGGGAAAACACGAGGAAACCTGAAGAGCATTGTCTGTTGGAATGCTGTGGTATACTCCTCGTTGACAGAAGTTAAATCACGTACTGCTGAAAATCAATAATGTCAGATTCATCTGTCTACTCAGCAAAATGGCAAGGCCTCCAATAATATAAACCTTATCTACTATAATAATACCATACACTGATTGAGACTAAAACTGAGCAATGACACCATACTGGTTTCTGGTACAATAACATCAGTAAAATCACAACATGAACAACGCCACTATAAATATCTGTCTAAAGGTATCATTTCAATAATGCCTCTTCAGTACCTCAGCAGCTAATGTACAAGATGCAGTAGTAATAATACTGAACTTTTATATATCTCTCATAGTTCATGGAAGGTGTGCGTCCAGTGTTGGATGTAGGTAGCTCAACAGGTTAAGAGGTGATACTTTCTGCAGCAGATGTACCATTCCGCAATGTAAGTGTACCAATCAGACCCTCTATGACTGTATCATCAACACTGGACCATCTCAGCATGACCTCGAGGTACTGCCGTGCATTTATAATGTTGATGTGCGAAAGTCCAAATAGTTGGAGAGTACAAAGGAAGAGACGATCTTGATTAACAGGATCTATGGTGACGTGGAGAAAGAATTCTGACATTATCCCAATCCAAGCTCTTTAAGCTTGGTGTGGTTGGGTAGCCTAGTGGTTAAAGTGTTCGCTTGTCACGCCGAAGACCCTGGTTCGATTCCCCACATGGATAATGGATAATGTGTGAAGCCCATTTCTGGTGTCCCCCATCGCGATATTGCTGGAATATTTGCTAAAAGCTGCATAAAACCAAACTCACCCACTCTATAACCTTCATGTTTGATTGTGCCAATATATCTGTGAATGAATTGTTCCTACAAACGTGATATAATTGTCACCAGACCTTATATCTGTGTTTATACTTTTAACCTTAATAATTACAGTGGAATCTTCCATGCCGACATCACCTGCTGGTAATTACCTAATTCCAAGCATCATAGTCATCTCACATCAACTAATTACTTTTCCTATCTTTTTACCTACAAATTAGGTGAATTGTATGGACACCATGGAGATTGTCTGTAAAGTAGCCGTGAACATCGCTGTGACAATATACTGTCACTCAGAGTGATTGACAGGATGAGGCAGGTGATTATAGCATTACACTAATTATTCATAAGTTTTCGCACCAAGGGACCGCATCATATACATGCCTGTTTCTGGCATTATCGGGGAATACAATCCTTCCTCCAGACGCTACTTTGGTGAACAATCCAGTATTTATAGGATATTTGTTAATATTGAGATCAGTATTTATTAAATACTCTTTGTAGTCTCTGATGGGTTCTCTCGCGTTTCTTTCAAATTTCTTTAAATGAATTTTTTTGCATACAGGAAGTTTTTTTAGTTTTGGAGAGAGACAGCTTTGGTTTGATATTCTGATAATTCTGATTGTACCTTATATATCTTAAAATGTATAGTCTGAAACTGAAAAAATTACACTATTTTATGGATTTTCTCAAAGCGGTAATTTAATTGACATTTCTTTAAGGAAAACTCAACTTATTTCTTACAAACATTGCTATGAAAGACATTCTTCTAATACAGTGAAACATTCTACTCAGAAAATAACATGTCAATGTTAAATTCCTATTTCTCTGATACTATCATATGGTTTGAAATGTAGTAATATCTTTGATAAACATGCTTGAGATCTATATCAATAACATACTTCAGATATATCAACTTACTGCAACAAAACCGGTTAAAGGTAACTGAAATGAATATTTACAATAACTTGATTGACGACAAAGCAGATCAAAGTCTAGATTACCTGCAGGTTGAAAAACTCTCACCAACTTTGTAAGCCACAAGTGTGTTAAATATGCCACTGAAAACCAGGGCTACTTTTGCGAATCCCTTACCCCAGCTGTGATAGAAAGGACTATGAGGATAAGCAGTGTGCCATTTGTGATAACATGGAGCTGTTCAAGCTAAACTGGGAGCTAGTTAACGCTACACTAAGCACAAGGCAGTAGGCCATTGGTCACCAGCCTTGCAGTCAGTCCGCTATACAGCGAGGGTTGGTATTGATGATCAGCAATACATCTCGGTGTGTATATATACAAATATGGGATAAAGGCATTCCCTATGTGTGTCTCACAACAGAGTCAGCGACGATTGAAATCAGGCCGTCATATCGTCTAAGAACTCCCATGCTGCTTTTCTTAATTGGCCAACATTGGATAATGCCCACGGAACCGTCGAAATAGCAGCTAGCTTGGTTTCAACTGAATACATACGCTCAGGAGGCTAGGCTGCAACAAGCGTACTCACTAACTCACCAGCCTTGTGGTCCCTCCACTGTGAGCTCTCCTGTAATGCAAGCTTAGAAAATTAACAGACAGATTTCACGTCTGCTGTTGTTATAGGGAGAGACTGTCAGCCATGATTCCTTGGACATTGGGGAAATATTTGAAGAGGAAACAGGGATAGTGTGATGGAGACAGGAATTCCATTACCAAAATGAGAAAAATCATGGAGAGTTTTAAGGATGTGCTGTTTTTAGGTGCTCATTAAGTGCGTCAGCCACGTGTTTCATAGAGGATAGGATTATCATAGTGGATATTTTATATTTGGATATTGTTTCTCTCCCACGAACTCTGAAGTGTTCCAAGCACACCTGAGAGTACGCTGCTTCCTCGGTAATTAACATGCGTGCTCCCCTCAGGGATAGATTAGTGAATTCGAGGGCTCATTTTCATTTGGGCTGGCTTTAGCCATATCCGACTTGTTTACTACCTGAAGACTATTGGGAGAGATATTCTCTAAATTTCTTGGTAATTAATGTGAGTTTGGTGTCAGTGACGGTTTGTTGTGCTTACGGACCACAGAAGGTGATTTGAGGCCAGGAAGAATAGGACATATGGGTGAGATTGGTGTAGAGGTGCAGTGCTTGCCATACGGAACATGTCTCCTGTAGTCGAGGGAGGATGTTGCTAGGATTATACTGCCTCAAAGATGGTCGCACCTAGCAGTAGACATAGCCAATGTATCGGTCCTTTAAGCCAAGCTAGGAGAGCTCAATCCTCCTTTCCCACTGACTGTTTATCTGGATTTTTTGGTCCATTCTATTCGATAAGGAGATACACCACTGGCATTATGACAACTACGGATATAGATATTGTAGGTGAATCCTGAAAACCCTGAGTACAACGCTGGTGTTTCAGGAGAAAGCATTGTATTGTGTACAGAGGATAATGGTTGCGGAGAGTTAATGCCACTCAGCCTGTGGTGTTGTTTTTTCATGAAGGATCGAGGAATATACTAAGAAATAATTATGTCCGACATGGATCTGAAACCTCGGCCTGATCGTCCTCGGATTTACATGTCCAGTAAGACGCACAAGGTGGTTGTCGTATTTCCTAATGGAGAGGTGGTTGAAGGTAGGAGATATTGAAATAAACATGCTTGTTGAAGATATTTACATGTTGCTTGATCAAATTTACATGCTTGTTGATGAAATTTACATGTGACATATGTCACTCTTTGTATGTTTCAGAGAAGTTTGAAGCCTTCAAATTCATTGTTTATATCTGTGTAGATCTTGTGTGTTAAGTCATGATGCGTGGTACATGTTCAATGATTGTCAGTAATAGATTATTCAAGCAAATGACATCTCCAACATAGAGAATATTGTATTTCAGAGTTTTAGCTATATATACAAGTGACCTGATATATACAACTGAACTGATATGTACGAATACACTGATGTGTGGGTGCATTGTCAACAGCGTATGGTATCAGAATATTAAATTTGATGTTAATATGAAATTTGTAAAAATATAAAATTACATCATTTTGAATTCCGACCACATTGAAATGTGTATGATCTAATATTAGAAATATTTGCTTTAATCTGTCTACAGGTGTCACTTACAAATGTGTATTTCAGCTCGTTATTGTCCGACAGAAATACATGCTGCATGTGTAATGCTATTGTTGTTTGCATAGTGAAACACACATGTGATGTCATTGTCTATTATTATTATCATTATTGTTATAGGATATTTATATAGCGCACATATCCAAGCAGCTAGTGCTTGCTCAAGGCACTGGTATTTTTTCCCTTGATCATTGGATCTCAATCTCAACGGCACATCATATTATCAATCTCAACTCCCTGGGGAGTATACAACTCTTGCAGCCACTAGACGCACCGAGTTATATTTGTGGCTTTCTCATCCTAACGAGGTACCCATTCACAGCTGGGTGGACTTGGACACATAGTCACAGTACTTTGTCCAAGTTCACTGCACGTTGCTGTACCCGCAGCTAGGTGTTTGCACGTATTCATGTGGCCACCATCTGGTCATATACCAACGGATTCGTGGGTTCTTTTAAGTTCACAGGGTTGTGTACTGTACACTAGGGGTTGTGACAACACTGAAAGAGTCTGCGCACAAAGTCGACTCCAAAGTTTTTACACCCGGTCACAGCTAGGTGGGCTCGATCCCGACACCTCAACCTCGCTGGATCACTAGCCTGGCGCCTTAGCCAGCTCGCCCACCGCGCCCCCTTAAGACAATTGTCTATATCATAATGGACATACGTAACATGCAACAATGAGCCTGAGAGAGTGGGGCTTTATGGAGAAGTAGGTCATATGTTGAAATAAACATCATCTTCATTCATATTACATCCCATATAGATGCAGCCAGATAACTAAGCATATAGAATATCTTCAGAAAGAAATCACACTCACTGTTTTTGTAGAATGAATTATCATCTTAAATGAATTGGATGTACATTTCAGTATGGACAGTGATGATAAAGCATGCATTTTGTATTCACTTGTAAATTAGTGATACATAAAACTGGTAAAATGAGGCATTAAATGATTGAATGTGGAGAAAGTAGTTGTCAGTGGTTTCTTGTGCGTGAGCTAAATGATGCAATGTTGACAGATTTGACAGGTTACATTTGTAGCATGTGTGACGTACATTTCTGTGTAGCTGCTATTTCCCATGTGGGGTGTTAGTTTCATCTAGGAGTGTAGGTCAGTGACAGGGTGGGTCGCATGTTCTATCAGACTGAATTCTGTCTGTTCTAGTGTACTGAGTTATTTTTGTAGGATTGACAGGATTGGGTGCACATTGGATCATACAGGATAATGTTTGTAGGATTGACAGGGTAGTGTACATATATGATCATACTCGTTACCATGTGTAGGATTGATATGTGACACAGTTCATATAATATTTGATTGACAATATGTGATACAGTTCATATAATATTTGATTGACAATATGTGATACAGTTCATATGATACCTGTTTGACAATATGTGATACAGTTCATATCATACCTGTTTGACAATATGTGATACAGTTCATACCATACTTGATTGACAATATGTGATACAGTTCATGTCATACTTGAGTGACAATATGTGATACAGTTCATGTCATACTTTATTGACAATATGTGATACAGTTCATACCATACTTTATTGACAATATGTGATACAGTTCATACCATACTTTATTGACAATATGTGATACAGTTCATACCATACTTTATTGACAATATGTGATACAGTTCATACCATACTTTATTGACAATATGTGATACAGTTCATACCATACTTGAGTGACAATATGATGTCATACTTTATTGACAATATGTGATACAGTTCATACCATATTTATTGACAATATGTGATACATACCATACTTTATTGACAATATGTGATACAGTTCATACCATACTTTATTGACAATATGTGATACAGTTCATACCATACTTTATTGACAATATGTGATACAGTTCATACCATACTTTATTGACAATATGTGATACAGTTCATACCATACTTTATTTACAATATGTGATACAGTTCATACCATTGACAATATGTGATACAGTTCATACCATACTTTATTGACAATATGTCATACAGTCATACATACCCATACTTTATTGACAATATGTCATACAGTTCATACCATACTTTATTGACATACTTTATTGACAATATGTCATACAGTTCATACCATACTTTATTGACAATATGTCATACAGTTCATACCATACTTGATTGACAATATGTGATACAGTTCATACCATACTTTATTGACAATATGTATACAAGATTGACAAGATGGTATACATGTTATAACCCACTTATGAGCTGAACTTTACATAGTAACAACTGGACATTGTGTGGTTGACAGGACAGTACATTTAACACTGGGGAAGACTGACATGACTACAGACTGTTATGACAAGATGAGACATGGCATGTTGAAGATGGGGTTAAAGTTACTGGACTACAGTACTAATAACTCATTCACCATGTTTACCACACGTGTACAACCTGAAAGAAAGGTGTACATGTTCATTGAAGTTTCTTGCACATATTGTGCAACCTCACTGGCTATGATGAGTTGTTAGTTTTAATCAGATAACCAGTATAAAACCATTCATCTCACTCCTCTGATAAAGATTAATAAGAATTGACTTCAACATAGCATCAGTAATTTAGATGGTTTATATATATCTTAATTGTTTATCTTAATTTTAATATATATATATATATGGATAGTAAATATATATCTAAATGGTTAAGGGGTGGTGGGGTAGCCTAGTGGTTAAAGCGTTGGCTCATCACACCGAAGACCCGGGTTCGAATCCCCACATGGGTACAATTTGTGAAGCCCATTTCTGGTGTCCCCCGCCGTGATGTTGCTGGAATATTGCTTAAACGGCGTAAAACCAAATTCAGTCAGTCAGTCTAAATGGTTAACTTATATCAGAACATACAATATATATGACGTAAGAAGTGTCAACTTGAGACTATTGGGTGCTACTGTGGTATGCTGATTAAAGTCAGTGTTGTATGAACATTGAGGCCATTATTGGTATACTCTGCAGGTATAATGCCCAGTATTGTATACATACAATCAACTCCAACATTTGACTGTGAGGAATATATGGCTGGGACATCGTTTGATGAAGTCAGTAGTGGTAATCATCTTTACTGTTTATTTGTATAGTGATTTCAGATATTATCAATTGATTTTGAATCTCTCCTGGCATTTGTTCTGTCTTGAATGGACAACAGTGTATTGACATAACATCAAATCATAAATCAATATTTGAACAAATATTCCTATGTGGATTCTAGGCCACAGTGTGTCCCCAGCTTTGTATGTTGGTTGTAAGAGGAGGCTGTATGGATTGGGTGGTCAGGCTTGCTGACAGAGATCAGTGCGTATTGTTGCCCCATGGGGCTCATTACATCATCCACTGGTTTTACTGTTCCAGACTTGATTATTTACAGGTGACTGTTTATTACATGGAATAATTATGGCATCAAATAACGAAGAGGATGAGTAGGTGTTTCTAACTGCAGTATATTACCTTCATTATCATAGCCTTTGATTCGATCTGGAACAAACACATGGTTAATATCATAAGCATACACATTGTGTGGTTAACCATGATATCAGCTGTTACAAACTGACAGCTGGATACCTGTCAGAATCTCTGTAGTTTGGATTCTCTTGATTACATATTTGTCGGTCACAAAAAGAATTCATCTACAGAAATTAGAAAGTAATGGCTAGAGGTTATATGTTTCATATACCAGATAAATCTATATCAAGAAATTGACACTGAAGTCACTCGATATAGAGGGTGTTACTTATAGTTCTCAGTTGTAACCTGTGTTAGATTGTGAGGGGCATTGGGGCAGCCTAGTGGTTAAAGCGTTCGCTCATCACGCAGAAGACCCAGGTTTGATACCCCACATGGGTACAAAGTGTGAATCCCATTTCTGGTGTTCCCCCACTGTAATATTGCTGGAATATTGCTAGAAGCGGTGTAAAACTAAACTCACTCACTTACTCACTCACTCCAGATTATGATAACTTGTGGGGGCGGTGGGGTAGCCTAGTGGTTAAAGCGTTGGCTCGTCACGCCGAAGACCCGGGTTCGAATCCCCACATGGGTACAATGTGTGAAGCCCATTTCTGGTGCCCCCCGCCGTGATGTTGCTGGAATATTGCTAAAAGCGGCGTAAAAGCAAACTCAGTCATTCAGTCAGTCAGGTAACTTGAGCCCTTCACTTTTCATGAGAATAAGGTATACCAGCTTATATTATGATTGTTTGATTTCATCGATTTCATCAGATGACTGTCACAGAATGAAACCATACACAGTAATTGTGTCTCATAGTTAAGTTTCCATTATTCATTGATTGATTTTCATATTATTACCAATGTTTCTGCTAATACAGTTGTTATTTTGACTGTGTTTTCTCTGCCAGTGTTTTTGAAGGTGAAATCAGCTCATGCATGGAACGTCAATTGTTAAATGGTTTGTTTTGTGTAGAATGAATGGACGTGGGCACCCTATAATTATAGAACTATGAATGACCAGCA